CAGCAAACTTTCATGAGGAAGGGATTGGAATAGAGCTGAGTGATCCAGTCTATGCTATGTCAGCCACAGACGTGACTTGAAACAATTTCATTTTCAGCAGCTGTGTAGTTTGCATTGTAATGAAGAAAGCAAACTTTATCACTTCAAATACAAGTAGATTATGTTTCATTTGATCTCTTTTAGTACTATCTCTTTAAAGGGCTTTTGTTCCCTGTGATTTGATAATATAAATTTGCAGTAAAGCAAATTCAAACTAAATCAACCTAATACAACCACTAGACGGTGCTACATACATACTGGTGTATCTACGGGGCAACTACATTGTAGATGTCCAAAAATGTTCTTTGTTTTCTAATACCTCTCAGTTTCCTATAAAACCTTGCTTGGTATTTGTAATGTATAAGTTCTTTTAAACTCTTTGGATTTACTGTTCAATGTAAATTGGTGCCATCTTTATTAGAAACTGTTGCTTACTGTCTGTCTCTTGCACTAGCATGTAGGCTCCATGAGGGCAGAGGCTTTGTGTTGTGCACAGTATCTGCCCCATAGTAAATGCTCCATAAATATTCATTCTACAATACTTTGGCACCTAAAAACACCTAATTTTTTCAGGCTGGCCAACATAGTGAGACTATCTTTAAAAAAAAAAAAAACAACTTAACTTTTCATTTGTATTACTAGTCATGTTTGTCTTAATAGAAATCTTTTTTAAAAAGAAAGGTAATAGTGGTCGTCTAACATAACCCTAGACTCTTCTGGTATCTTTTCTAAAGCTAATTCGAGAACCCAAAGAAAAAAAAATACATGGGTAATAATATTTATAATTTAGGTGGAGATCAGCAAGTGACTACTTGAGGAACTGCCTTCAATAATTTGTCTCCAACACAGGAGTAAAAAAATTACTTGAGATATAACTATTTTAGTACATTTCAAGTATAACGGTTTTAGTTTTTTGGGTACCACCTCCTTAAATCAGCTAATCAGAACACTTAATTTCTTTATGTATTTTAAAATCTATTTTTATGGCAGATGGAGTAAGGTCTTTCAAGGCAGACCTTTGATCAACAAATTTTTATGCCCAGAGAAAGAATTGTCTCTGCAAGATTTAATAGTAACTAAAGAAATGAAAATTAAGCCAGCAAAGATTTTTAAAGGTTAAAGAATAGTAGTAACCAATGATGATTAGGGTATAAGAACCCTTACTGATGTGTTAATTGGTAAAACCTTTGTAGAAAGCAATTTGAAAAATGTTTAAACCACCGTATTCTAAGATTTCTTGACAGATGACATTGCCAGGCACCCTATGAAGTACATATTGATACCCTTAAGTTAGCAATTCCACTTACAGATATTCATCAAAGGGATTTTGGACAGGTACAGAGATATGTGTTTATTACAGATTGTTTATCAAATGAAAAATTGGCAACAACATATCCAGCAATAGAGAAGATTAGGTAAATATAAACTATCCGTATACTATAATACCTTGGTATTGATTTGTTGAATTTGTTATGAAGTGGGCAAATAACAACAGTGTAGAATGATTCCATTTCATACTGTCTTATGCATACGGAAATAAACATATTCAGTTTTTAAGTATCTTTGAACAACAAAGTTAGGAATGACTTTTTTTTTCCTTCTGCCTTATTTTGTTTCCTAAAATAACTAGGGTAAATAGTTTTGACCTTGGGTCAGGGACTTTTAGGGTCAAAACTATTTGTGATAACAAAATATTATTTTTGCACCAATGGCACAAAGGTAATGGTAGATAATACTGTTGTCTCCTTGGCAGGAATCAAGATAGTGCCACAAGAGTAGCAGCAATCATTGCATTATTCACAGCAGTAACATGCAAATGTATTTAAGAATGTTTGTGATGGAGCCAGACATGGTAGCTACTCGGAATGTTGAGGTGGGAACATTGCTTGAGCCCAGGATTTCAAGTTTATCCTGAGTAACATAGCAAGACCCTGTCCCTGGAAAAAAACGTCAGTGATGGAGTATACATGTGTTAGCTGTCTACCATTGAGTATATCTCTTCAACATTCTGTGATGGAATAGGAAATACATAGACAGCATTTCTCATACTGAAGTACTGTGGTTTGTCTAAGGGGAAAAAAAGCACTTGTATGATTGAGTTTTGAGATGAACTTTTTCCCACTTTTAGAAAGAGTGACTCACTGACAAAGTCTGGTTATTCGAGTCTAGACACTGGCAGAAATATTTTCAAATGAACCAAAGAAAACAACTATTTTTTGCCAGTGATAAAATTCAAGGTTTCGAACAAAAATAAATTGAGAAACTTGTAATACCAGCGTGAGCTTGATAGCTTTTTTTTCTAATGTTATGTAATGGAGTGAATTTGATATATAAGTTTCAACATTTACATCTGTAATTTAGTGAACCACTATTTCCAAAGGGCCATTGCATGATGCCATATAACATGCATGGGTACAAATTCTTTTGCATTCAAGGAATTCTAATGGATTTAAAGTAACAGCACAAACTGTTCATGTTCATGGTTATGGCTTCAGTTGCACATTGCACCTTATCTTTAAGCATCACACAGCAAAGTGTTAGAGTAGGTTTAGGCAGAGACAAAAACTTAGAGATAGTTCATAATAATGTCATATGTATGGGAAGGCAGCTACCAAGTGCCTTCAATAGTGGCGGAGGTAAAAGAGGATATTTTATGTGGGCTTTGATGGATGCCTAAGAACTTACTAGAAAGAATGGGAAGAAGGATGTTTTAGGTAAGGGAGCAGTATGTGTGTGAAAGTGTGGAAATACATGGCACAGGGTACTTGAATGGATATATGCCATGCCACAGTGTTGAGGAAGACTGTAAAGATTGATTCACATAGGACTGACATCAAATTTGCATTTTATGATTGATATAAACATATCCTCTAGACATACAGCTGGTAATAATTGAAGGTAAGATTTAGTGTAACTGTGTGCTGTAATCAGAAGTTAGATTTTGGTGGCTTGGGTTTCTGTGACAGTTTATTTTTATTATTATACTTTAAGTTCTAGGGTACATGTGCAGAATGTGCAGGTTTGATACATAGGTATACATGTACCATGCTGGTTTGCTGCACCCATCAACTCATCATTTACATTAGGTATTTCTCCTGATGCTATCCCTCCCCCAGCCCCCCACTGCCCGAGAGGCCCCAGTGTGTGATGTTCTCTGCCCTGTGTCCAAGTGATCTCATTGTTCAATTCCCACCTATGAGTGAGAACATGCAGTGTTTGGTTTTCTGTCCTTGCAATAGTTTGCTCAGAGTGATGGTTTCCAGCTTCATCCATGTCCCTGCAAAGGACATGAACTCATCCTTTTTTATGGCTGCATAGTAATCCATGGTGTATATGTGCTACAGTTTCTTAATCCAGTCTATCATTGATGGACATTTGGGTTGGTTCCAAGTCTCTGCTATTGTGAATAGTGTGTGGCACTTTAATCTACCAGCTGTACTGGTAACTCTACTGGTTTAATCCACTAGCTCTCTGAACTTGGGTAAGTTGATTATCTTCTTTGCCTTTTTTTTTTTTTCCTGATAAATAAGATGAAGCTAAGACTAGCACCCACTATAAATGTTCTAAGCCTTTTGATAACAGTGTTGTAGGGAGTACTACAAACTCTCAGATGCCGTCAGTGAATAAGAGTGAGTTTCTTCCTAGGAGCTGTTACTCCCTGCACCTTTCTTCTTGGGAGTCTGGCGCCCCTTCCCGCTCTTCACTTTACTCCTGACCTTTTACATTGATGGCAAAAATCTTAACCTGTTTGTGATAAAATATAAAATTATTTCCGTAAGTGGCATTAGCATGCTGTATGTTTACATACTTTTGAAAACTACTTTGGATTATTCTTTTGTATAAGCTTATAAAGTAGCTTTGCTTTCCTTTTACGTGTTCTAAATTTTTCTTAACACAAATTTCAACATTAAAAAAAAAATCTATTGACCTTATTGTAACAGTGTCCTCTGTTTCTTTAAAAATGAAAAAAAAAAAAGGCCAGGCACAGTGGTTCATGCCTGTAATCCCAGCACTTTGGGAGGCCAAGGTGGGCAGATCACCTGAGGTCAGGAGTTCGATACCAGCCCGGCCAACATAGTGAAACTCTGTCTCTACTAAAAATATAAAAATTAGCTGGGCATGGTGGCATGCACCTGTAATCCCAGCTACTCGGGAGGCTGAGGCAGGAGAATCACTTGAACCAGGGAGGCAGAGGGTGCAGTGAGCTGAGATCCTGCCATTGCACTCCAGCCTGGGCAACAAGAGCAAAACTCTGTCTAAAAAAAAAAAAAAAGAGATAGAATTTCATTTTTTTGTTTGTTTTTTGAGACAGAGTCTTAGGCTGGAGTGCAGTGACACAATCTCGGCTCACTGCAACCCCCACCTTCCAGATTCAAGCGATTCTCATGCCTCAGCCTCCTGAGTAGCTGTGAATACAGGCACATGCCACCACACCCAGCTAATTTTTGTATTTTTAGTGAAGACAGGGTTTCACCATGTTGCCCACGTTGGTCTCAAACTCCTGACCTTGAGTGATCCGCCCACCTCAGCCTCCCAAAGTGCTGCAGTTACAGGCGTAAGCCACCACGCCTGGCCCCTGAAAAATTTTTTGATGTCTACTTTTTTTTCTGTTAGGTCAGACTTCTCCGAAGTAGTATGCCATATCTTAGTACCAAGTAATACAACTTAAAACTTGACTAATCTCAGTTTTGTAACTATTCATTATATCTTTATTGTAGACATTAGAGTGCTGATATAAATTTGAATCATATTTTCTCTCTCTGTGACTGGCAGTTTTTATTAATATTGCTTTTCTCTTATTTGAAGAAAACTATTAGGGATCTTGAGAAAAGTGTTGGTAAGTATTCTGTGGACTTATTCTTGCATGGAATTTGACATTTTTAAGTTGGCTCAACTTCCAACGGTCTTTGTACTTAGTATAGTGGCCTGCAACATAATGAGGACTTTTACTTCTTTTTCAGATTACTTTTGATGAAAAAAACGTAAAGAAGTTAACAGATGAAAAGAAAACCAATCTCTTGAAAAACATAGATGAAAAACTCACAGAAACAGCCAGAAAACTGGGGTACTCACTGGAACGGAGAACCATGAAGATGAAACAGAGAGATAAGAAAGTATGACTTCAATCTGTTGACCTCTTGTTTTGCTATTTAGCAGATTTTTTTTCCCCTCTTGAATCCTTCCCATCTCTACCCTGCCTTTCTCTTCTCTATTACTATCTTAAGAACTGGATGCTGTCCCTTAGGGGTGCTAGGAGGATGGCACTGAAATGGGGATCAGATGGCTCCTTTGGGTTGGTACACTGGTTGAATTGCATCACTGGTGATATCACTGCTGTGGTTGAGTAACTCATGCCGGTATTTACCACTCTTTTAATCTTGTTTTATCAGTTAATCACTTCATAAAGTTAAGTGAAAGCTGCTTTGTACATAATGAAATTTACATAGGTACGTTTTCTTCAGTAAACATTTATATCAGCAGTGCTTCTTCCTTTTTCCTTATTGATCTCATCACTTCCTTTTGCATCTCTCCTAATGTCTGCAGTGTGAAGGGAGAATTTTGTAAAGGAGCAAATACTTCTTAGTGTTGGATTCTTTTGGTTTTCAGCTATAGATTTCAGATTAAGTTAATGACAAGCTGGAAGATTTCTGCCTTGGAGTAAATGAGAATTCTGTAGGAGTTTGTTCTTATGGCCTCTAGGGGAAAAATAACACTTGTCACTGGAATGAGGGCTCCCCAGTCTCCTCCAGCCTCTCACTGTTTGTCTGCCCTTGCTGGTTCATCTGAATGTTCTAAGCTAAGTGGAGAACTTGTTATTCCTTAATAAACTAGCACTGGTAATGAAGTACCTTAGTGTACTTAGGCATTAAACCCTACTTCAGTTCCTTCTCTGATGTTGATTCAGCTTCAAGGGTGATATTCTGATAAGTTCTAGGCACTCTTTCTTTAGTCCAATAGATTGGAAAGTTTCTTAAAACGTACGTTTTAATGTACAACATGGCATTTTAAAAGTTAAGGTTTTTTATTGCCATTTACCTTTCTGGTTATCATAGGAAGCTTCTCCCAACTTGTGACTAGGAGGAAGGGTAGCATTTGTAGCCTAATGTATTCCTAATTTGTTTTGACTGAAGTCTAAGCATCAATACACATAATAGCTGTTAGCCAATTATTTAATCAGTCTTATTTTTCTACCACAAGCTATATTTCAGAGGAGATTTTCTTAATTCTTCCCCATAAATATGATTCAGGTTTAAATTTCATACATATTTTTGTCCTAGACCCCGCCCCCATGAAGTTTCATTTTAGTATTTGTTCTTCATATAAAAACAGATGGTAAAAACAAAGACAAAAAAGAACTTACAAGACAATCATGTTTTTAATCCTCCCCCGTTGATGATTATACTTTCATACCCTTTTCTGTTATTGTAAGGTTGTTCTTCTATTGTTTTTGTGAGATCTTCATTTAATTCATATTTTTCTACTGAAGAAATAAGTTCCACTAGTATATGTGAGTTAGTGGCTTTGTCCTTGTGTGTGAGTGTAAGAACGTCTCCACTCTGGTATGATAGAGCACTGTATAGCACACAAGAAATCAGTGTTTCTGTAACTTAGCATACTTTGGAATGCAGAGCCCTTATAAATTATATCATTTGACTCCCTACAACAAATCTGCAAAGTTAGGATTATCATCCTATTTTATAGATAAGTAAATTGAGGGTTATAGAAGTTTTGTGTCTTGCCCAAAATCTTAAATGACACATGGAAAACCCAACTTCATATTTTCCATATTTGGCATTCTTTCCACCCATCTTCTAACTAATTGGTTTTCTGCCACTTCACCTTTTCCATACCTAGATTTCTTCATAAGGAACATTGGTTAAATATGCATAAAATGATGGTGTGTCACTCCATCCACCTGTGATTTGATGCTTCAGGATGTCACCCATTCCTATACAGTTTTCCTACATTTGTAATCTTACTCTTCATAATAAAATTACAATTCTGATGACTTCTTAATTGATACCTCTTTATGGACAATTAGTACAGGTAATCATCTGAACATGTATCTACCATGTACAGGTAAAAAATGTACAGGTAAAACATGTACAGGTAAAAAATCTGAACATGTATCTACCATGGTTCCTACTGTATGTTGTTCAGCCTGAGTTGGCAACTATAGCACTGCTGTCTTTTTCTTTATCACTGCTTTATGTCCTGCCTTTTACATTTATGAATATGTTATGTATATCGTTTCATATTGCCAATTTAAGATCTACCTCATAATTTTGAGTGGCTGCAGAATATTGTGCTTATGTTTAAAGTTTGGGTTGCTTAAAATTTTTCACAAATACAGACAACCCTGCCATAGATATCCTTTTATACCTTTATTCACATACTTATCTGGTTCTTTTTTTAGAAGAAATTCCTAGACATAGACATAGTATTACCAGGTCCAAAGAAGTGTGTGTGTGTGTGTGTGTGTGTGTGTATAGTTTTTCTTTGCTTGTTTTTAATTTTGGGGGGTTTTCTTTAGTGCTTTTGGTTTTTCCATGCTGGTAGATATAAAATTCTGCATTGTTTTAATTAGCATTTCTTTAATTATAAAGGACATTAAATATTTTTTACTTTTGTTGGCCATTGCATTTTTTTTGACTGCCTGAACTCTACCCATTTTTCTATCAGGGTTAGAATTAGTCTTGTTCTTACATGTGTTCTAATTTGGATGTTAGTCTTTTCCTTTGTTAAACTTCTTTATAATTTAAAGACATTAATTTTCATTTACTGTTATATTTTGCAGATATATTTTATCAGTTAATTTGTCTTCTTGATTTCACTAGAGTTTATTTTTATACAGTCAACTTTTTCTTCTCCATCACAAAATTATTTTTTTAATTTACCATCTAGTAGTTTTATGATTTTATTTTTACATTTAATTCTGAAATCCGGCTGCAAATTATCTTTATATAAAGATTACGATAGAAGACAATGACTTCATTTTTTCCCAAGTGGCAAACAGTTGTATAATAACTTCCTTTGAATAATCTGCCCTTTCTGGCAGCTTAATAAAGGATGATGAAAGAAGCAAGAGACTGGGAGAATAGGGAGATTCGAGAGAAAAAGTCTTTAAGATATAGAGACTTAGGTGAGAAGCCTTTAAAATTGGAGTTTGCTTTTTGGGTTGTGTGCTTCCTCTGCCTTGGAAACTTTTCACTGAATTGCACAAAGCGGAGTATTTGTACAGATGTTTTGTTAAAGAAAGACCTAAAAATAATACCACTAACATGAATTAAAGGAAGAATGGAAACTGGAAGGGTTATGGTGGTAGTTGTAGTTGGGCCTGTTTTTGTCTTTGAAGACTACCACTTGATAAAAGCTCACTGGTTATGTGATTTGCCTCCACAAAAGACACTACAAACCTAGAAACTGCCCTACTTTTGGGAAATTTGCAAACAAGCCTAATATTCCAGGTAAAAATAGGGGGCTCTGAATTTCGCAGGATTGAGGAGAGGAGTTCTGTCCTACCATATCTTCTTGCTGACAAAAACTGTTTCTTACTGTCTTTCTTTTATACCCAGGTTCTTCTGTGCTTTCTACCAAGCAGGTACTTTGACCTTGAGGAAACTGATATTTTGGCTTGCCTCCTAGGATGTATTGGGTTCTTCCTTAACAAATCAGGATGCAGACTTCCAAGTGACTGGCTCAATTAAAGCCAACTATTTCACTGTTCTGTGATTACTTCAAGTGCTTGACTTTTAGCTAATTTTTGAGAAAAAACAAAAAACAAAAAAAAACAGTGTTAAATGTTTACCCTAGAGTCCAAATTTACTGAAATAAAATGCCATTGAATGTTACATTTGGGCAGAAATGTTGAGGGTTTATGTATTTGGGTTTTTTTTAATGTCTCTTTACCATGATTACATTTTATTCTTCTCTTTAACGTGGGTTGTGACAAAGACCTTTGATTGTGCAGGCTTGGTTGTTACAGTAAATGAAAATGATGTTGGGGACAGAGAGCTCCCTGAAACAGATGGTAATGTGTTTCATATGTAAACACATGCATATATGGTAATGCATATGTAGGAAGGTTTTGCTTATATTGGGAAGTAGGTATGTCCATATACCTTTTGTGAGACAGTTGCTAGACCTTGGTAATAAAGAGTAAGCTTAGGTTTTAGAGTCAGTCATTCCTGAATTAAAACTGAGTTCGTAGCTGTGTGGCCTTCAACAAATTATTTAACTCCACGAAACCGTGTCTTTTTCATCTGTAAAATGAAGTTAATGATACTCACTTCATAGGGGAAGTTGGGGTATAAACAAGTATTAAGATACTTAGCAAAATGCTTGCCTCAGTGCTCAAAATTTGGTAGTTATTTTTAAGAATTTAAAGAATTTTAAACTATTGCCTACTTTCTTGGAACTACTTCCGGACCTTTGACATTACAGTCAACTTGCAAAATAGTAATTTTTCAAATAGTATGTGTTTTTATGGTTCTTTGTGAACATTTTTTCATCTGCATGTAAAATGATTTAGCTTTCAGAAGCCCAAGATCCTGAACTACTTCATATATAAGTATAAAAATACTTTCAAAATGGACCACTGCACATAATCTAGTTATTGGTATCTTGAACAGCGAGAATGAAAATCACTTCTCAACTCTTTTACTCTCATCTCCATTCCCTTATTGTGAACGGCCCTGTTGGTATTCCTCTATTGATCATCCTGTTCTGGGGGGATAAAACTTAAAGGGAAATCACACTTAGCACCTTCTCAAGGAACCATGTATTCCTCCCCAACACACATACTTGGCCATCTATTTTTCAGAACAGAACTAACTAGCCTTGGTAGTTACCAGTCTCTGAGGTTGTGACCTGGACATCTGCGTTTAAACCAGTACTCTAATGCAGTTCTTCTCAAACTTTACTGTGCAGAGTCTCCAGCCAGTAGAGAGAGAGGTCTTAGATGGCAACTATTCATATGGACTTGTTTTTGCTGTACCCCTGCCACTTAGAGGAGTGCCATAGGGAAGATGAATGTGGCTAAGCTGTCCAGTGTGATGGCCACTGAGTACCTCACATGTGGCTGCTACAACTAAAGAACAAAATTTGTAACTTGTATTATTACTTTTGTACTCTGTGTGTGTGTGTGTGTGTGTGAGAGAGAGAGAGAGAGAGAGAGACAGGGTCTCACTCTGTCACCCAGGATACAGTGTAGTGGCGCAATTATCCTCTCGGCCTCCTGAGTAGCTGGGACTACAGGTCTGCACCACCATGCCTGGCTAATTGGTGTTTTTGGTTTTGTTTTCCACGTAAAGACAAGGTCTCACTCTGTTGCCCATGCTGGTCTCAAACTCCTGGGCTCAAGTGATCCACCCACCTCAGCTTCCTGAACTGTTGGGATTACAGGTGTGAGCCACTGTACCTGGCCTGTAATTGTGTATAATTTTAATTAGTTTAAGTTTGTAAATTAAAACAGGATTAAATGTTTCTTGTATTGATTATATGTTGACATAATACTATTTTGGGAATACGGGTTAAATATAATACCTTAATTTCACCTGTTTTTAATTTTTGTTAGCTCCTCCTCCTCCTGCCCCAGCTGTTTCTTTTTTCATGTGGATACTGGAAAAAATGTAGCCCATATTATATTACACTTGGACAGGCTGATCTGTCCTATATCTCCTCTTTGAAGCCAGAGGCAATTGGTCTCTAATGGGACCAGTATGGGCTCTAGCTACTGGTCAGTCTTCTGCTTCTACTCTAAGTCATCTTTTCTTCATATCTCTGCTCACAGAGAGAACTTTAAAAAACATGATTACTGTGTCATTTGGGAAAGGTTAAGCACATTTGTTGTAGAGATGAGCAGTCTCTAAAACTTTTGGGGTGATGGATGTTAAATTGTAGTGCCCTGGAGTAAAGCCTGTTACCCTACTGTAGGTGTGGTTCTGGGGTTTTATGTCGAGTCTAATATTCTAGGCATTAGATCCTTCTGTATTTAGTTTTGAAGTGGTAGCAAAATGTAAGAATGAAGGACCTAATCTTCTTGCTCTTGCCTAGTGTCCTTTGCCAGGAGGTACAATTGACTGGCAGTTTGTTAATGTGACAATGATTAGCAAATCACAACTAAGTTTGTTCTTAACCCTTTGAAGCTTCTTACAATAACACTGTAAGGGGGGCTAAACTGGTTGTAAATCACATCTTCCCCAGTGTGTAGGATTGGGCAAGCTTTCCAACACCTTTGTTTCTTTCTCTTTACCTGTAAGCTGTGTCTGCACACGTGCACGAGTGCATACCCATCCACAGATCATTTAATTCTCATTTAACCTACTTTGTAACCAAGTCACAGAGAGGCAAAGCACCTTGCCCAGGTTCACACAAGCATTCTGGTTCCAAAGTCAGTGCCTAAATCAGTGCAGTAATTCCCAAACCATAAAATACATGTGACTCACCTGCAGACATTGTAAAACTGCACTCTATCAGTAGCTCCAGAATGAGATCTGAGACTGCATACCTGTCATGCTCCCAGGTGATGGTAATGCTGCTGCTCTACAGACCACCCTGGAAGGAGCAGGACTAAACCAGTAGCTCTCCAGCTTTAGCATGTTAAGAGTCATCAGGAGGGCTTGTCCAAACATACACTGGCGCTCTCCCCACCCTCCCCAAGTTTGAGTTACAGGGTGGGTCCTGAGAATTTGCATTTCCAACAAGTGAAGTTGATGCTCCTGATCAGTGGTATACATTTTGAGAACCTGCTGTAAACTATTATACTACTTTTCTTTTCCCACCTCATAGTTAGCAGTAAAAATAATCAAAATGTTTAACAGCCAGAATGACAGTCATTGACCAATCCAAGTAGTGCTTGACCTGCTAGAGAGGCCCTAGCCATAAATAAGTAGAGCCATAAGATATGGACCAGTGAGTAGCAAACTTAATTGTTCTGAGAATGAAATAACATGTAAGAGTTATAAAAAGGTTTAGCACAGTACTTACCACATGTTAAGGGCTACATGTTTATTATGATCAACAAAAAGGTGATATATGTAGATAATAGCAGTCATCTAAAATCTTTTGATAAACCTAAGGCAGTGACTCTTAACAGGGATTGCAAGGTGGTACATATTGGGGATGGGGGAGAGAAGGAATTTGAGGATAAAGGGACTATGACCTGAAAACCCACTTTCAGCATAGCTGTTCTTACAGAATCAGTTAAGGAAAAGAAAACTTAAACTTTTGACTGGGAATACACTGGAGAGAATAACTATTTGTGGGCATAGTTTGGGGTGAGAAAAAGTTGATGAAATCTAAGGGAATAAGGAAACTCAAATTTAATTTGGTTTTATTTTCAGGATATGCCATTAGTCTTCTAGAGCAACAAGACTGCCTCTTTGAATGCCAGGTGCCTGTCCCTAAATTGTGTTCACTAATCACTTGAGGGTGTAGCTAAAATGACTTTGGAAGTAGCCTTTGTTAAACAAGTGCTTTTTAATATGTTTTCTGCTACTTATTAGGATATCTGCTATGTTCTCTACTTAATGTTATATTTTTATTTTTCAGTATTTTCATAAAGTTGCTGGCCAGCTTTTACCTCTTGCATATAATCTGTTGAAGAGGAATCTGTTTGCAGAAACTATTAAGGATCATCTGGCAAACAGAAGTAAAGAGAACATAGACCAACTTGCTGCATGAGTAAGGTGGCTTGTTTGGTGTACAGTATTTCAAAGGACTAGTATTTAACTTGTAATTTTTGTTTTGTTTTTAAGGAATACAAAAAATAAACATTTACTAAAAACATTTGTAAGGTTCTTCTGCCTGGTTTTCCTTCTTTAATGTACAAGCAAATGGCAGTCAAATCATCTAAATGGTGATTGACCCTAATCACATTTTGGAAGACAACTGAAGACATCTGATATGTCACAGGAAGCCGCTGTCTAATGCCTGTGGCTAACTAGACCATCTTTACAGAGTCCTGTTTCAATATTTATCATATGGGCAACTAAGAATATTTCTTCTGACTCTTGAGTTAATAGCTGTAGCTTTAAGGACTGGGTTTATGGTGGGTGAGGAGGGGAACAGAAGGAAACTCATGACACTACAATCAGCACTCTTCCAGGGTGCCTGACCCTGACCTACCCAAACTGCATTTTGGGTAGTGTCTCCAGGTGACTCCCAGCAAGTAGTCCAGTTATCCCATTAGGTATATTATTTTCAATCTTCTCTTGACTCTGTCATTTACTAATAAAGTCTAGTATATTGATACACAGTATACAGTATTAGTATAAGATAATAATCACTATGCCATTAATTTAGATTTTAAAGTTTTTCACTGCAAATGATTTCACTGGATTTTTAGTATGAATCTGTGGATAGCTGTGTTTTACTAGATCCAGATTTTCCTTAAACCTGATGATATGTCCTTCACCTTAAAAGTAGGGGGCAGGGCAAGGTGCAGTGGCTCACACTTGTAATCCCAGCATTTTGGGAGGAAAAGGTGGGCAGATCACCTGAGGTTTGGAGTTCGTGACTACCTTGACCAACATGGTGAAACCCCATCTCTACTAAATATACAAAATTAGCTAAGTGTGGTGGCACATGCCTATAATCCCAGCTACTTGGGAAGCTGAGGCAGGAGAATCACTTGAACCCAGGAGGTAGAGGTTGCAATGAGCCTAGATCATGCTATTGCACTCCAGCCTAGACAACAAAAGCAAGACTCTGTCTCAAAAAAAAAAAAAAAAAAAAAGTAGAGGGCAGACCATGAAATGCAGAGTAGCTAACTTCATGGATGGGGCTGAGGATCGTATAAACTTTTTCCCCTTTCTATAAAGTTCAAGATACAAAAGCCCCGAAGTCATCTAGTTAAACCTCCACGTTTTGTAAGATTGGCTTAACTTCTCCAAAGTTCTTACTGTCAGCTGTCTCCTTAAAATATATTTGAGGTGCTTACTCTTTTTTATATAAGGGTATGAGTAGACAATTTAAAAACAACACTTAGAATTTTAAATATAAGTAGCATTCCTCAGCTCCCCAATTAGGCTGCAAGCTTCTTAAGGGCATATATTTTATGGATATAGATCCCCCTCAGTAATGCAAACCTTTGGAATTGCACTTATTGAATAAAATGACCCTGTCACATGTTTCTAAGTGCCAGATAGAATCAAACTGGCATGAGCTGGGAAACGTAAGATGCTTGGGAGTTAAGGATTCTTGACTTCTCAGACAAAAAGCCTTCTGGGGTCAAAAATCTCTGCCACAACTGAAATCTGCTCCCTTTCTGCCAATGGCTCATGCTGCCTTTGGAGGCAGGTAAGATGCTTTCTTCAAGGTAGGCACATTTTGTATAATAACCAAAATGAAACTGAAAACATCTTCAGCTTCCCTTTCATAACTGTACAGGAACTTTTACAGCTGTAATGGGGAGGCCTCAGGTTTTAAGGAACTGCCATTTTAATTATGTAAGTAGCTCCAGGACTTGGAACCATCTGAACTATTAACTTGTTTTATATTAAAACATTACAGTAACAATTAACTCACACATATTTTATTAGAAAAGGTGACCAAGTCACATTGGTCTTAAATAGTTTTAGACCATGGATTTTAAATAAAATTTTAGAAGTTCTAGCTTTGTTCCTCAGATTTCTTTAGTTTCTAAGGTGCTCAACTATTTCTAAATACTGCCCCTAATGTTAACACATTTAAAAAATACCAAATTCATGTATCTCCCATTAAAGATTTGTTTAGCTAGAAAGATTCCTTTAATTTTGCCAATTGGTGATCCAACAATCTCAACTGTGTAGTTGGTAGAATTTTTTTATATGCCTTATGATCAGTAGTAAGGATTCCAGAAGGATTTCTTATCAAGGAACAAATGAAAGAGGACAAAAAAAGGTGAATCGGCTTTTCATCCATTCCTTACAGAAACCTAATATGAATGTGTATCTTCAGGAAGCTGGGCATATCAGAACCAAGACAGAAATTGGACACAAACCCTAAGAATATGGTGATTATAATTTGGATAATACAGTTGTGAATGGGGTTTCCTGAAGACAGTAACAAGAAATGTGGATTTCCAGTCTCAAACTCCAATCAGTTGGCTCGGAGGGCTACTAACCTGTTTCAGGAGGTACTGATCTTCCAACTGGTGAACATTTTTCATTGAAGAGCAAGCTCCCTGCAGGAAGATACCAAGCCTTCCTTATCTTTTTCCTTCACTAAAGGCATAGTCCATTTAAACCTAATTAACTAAATATTACCTACCTAGGATCTGGTCACTCAATGGCTATAGTAGCTTCCAAATGGCATCTATATACCTCTGTTCTCTGAGAACACAGTTTAAGTGCCTAGGCTCTTTCATGAATAAAGAACCTTGATCCAATCAGGATTTAACAGAAAATCATTACCCAGTTCAAATTTAGCTAAGCTCGCCCCTCAGCGTTCAATAATGGAGTTTCCATGCAACCTCTCAAACATGTATGTAGAATAACACCCAAGAAAAAATGAAAGCTACAAAACAGATTGCTATAAACTACTCGGCAGTGTCCTAAGACCTTTGTATTACCTCAAACACTGACCTTACCAGCTTAATGTTGTTCTATCTAAACTATTCCTATCATAATTAATTTTAATGTCTGGATGGGCAAGGTGGCTCATAACTGTAAGCTCAGCACTTTGGGAAGCCAAGGTGGGCAGAGAGCTTAAGCCCAGGAGTTTGAGACCAGCCTGGATTAACATGGTGAAACTCTGTCTCTACAAAATATTAGCCAGGCACGGTGGTGCACACCTGTGGTCCCAGCTACTCAGGAGGCTGAGGTGGGAGGATAACGTGAGCCCAGGAGGCAGAGGTTGCAGTGAGATGAGATCATGTCGCTGCACTCCAGCCTGGGCAATGGAGTGAGACTCTGTCTCAAAAAAACAATAATAATACATATGTAGGTGGTCCCTATAATACTAGCCTCTCAGTTCCTTGACTTACTCTTTCAATGATCTAGATTAGGGATTGATTGACAAACTAGAAACTAGTACCTTCTCAGTACCAGTAATGAAAACCTCCCAAATCTCAATTTCAAGCATTTATATTAAAACATTACAGTAACAATTAGCTCACACATATTTTATTAGAAAAGGTGACCAAATCACATTGGTCTTAACATCATCACTCATCCTTCCCTCTCTTTCCCACTAGTACCCCAACAATTTTTCAACACAACAGTCCCCAATAATTCACAAATGTAAACACCTTTTTCATTCTTCACCCACTCCATTCCTGATTCCCTCTTTACCCAGCCTTGAGATTCTATTCCACATCATTACAATCCCTCCTCACATCCTCTGCTCCACTGCCCTTCTCTCCATTCGTTGTATTTATCTGTTAACCTTAAGCCAAATTTTTTAAACTGCCTATTCCTTACCTGAGTCTGCTCAGTATCAGGTGGCTGGAGAAAAAATACAACCATGGCAGCTAGTCTTATTTTAACCTCAAGTTGGCCATGCTGGATGCCCATCGATCCTACTGTCTCATCTCTCAACCCCCAACCCCCAACCCCATCCTCAGTTTATTTCACTGAGAAAACAGAAGCAACCAAAATACCTTCAACAGAATCCCACTGCTTTACCAACTGCCCATTATGCTCTGCCTTTCCTACCCATTATACTCTGCCTTTCCTCCTTTCTATGAAGGTTGAATATGTGTCCAAGACCCCATCCTCCTTTCCCTACTCAAGGACTACTCTTCTATTTTTCCTCTCAAACATTTCTATCATTAACAAAAAAGCTGTAATTTCCTGCATCTTAAAATCCAATCAATCTCAGATTAATTTTCCTTATCAAATGATCAACAGCAAAAAAAAAAAAAGCTATAATATCCTGCCTCTTAAAACTATCACGCATTACTTTTCTGAAAACCTCATAGAGAATTCCAATAGTTCTCTTCAATTCTTCTTCCAATCTCTGGTGGAGCCACTCCTTTCAGGCTTTGGTTTGCCACCATTGTGCTGAACTTGCTCTGGGGGAAGTTATTTATTTCCACACTGGTGCATTGTGAGCCCTCATTGCACGTGACAGTGACAGTTAGTCATTGCTCCTTGAAATCATTATTCATTTGGTTTAGAGGATTATCCTTCTTTTTTGAGACAGGGGCTTGCTTTGTCACCCAGGCTGGAGTGCAGTAGCACCATCATAGCTCACTGCAGCCTTGAACTCCTAGGCTCAAACAATCCTCCTGCCTTAGTCTCCTAAGTAGCTGGGACTACAGGCACATGCTACCATGCCCAGCTCATATCTTCATTTTTTAATTTTTTGTAGAGATCTGGCCTATGTTTCACAGGCTAGTCATGAACTCCTGAACTCAAATGATCCTGTTCCACTTGGCCTCCCAAAGTGCTAGATTTATAGGCCTGAGCCACCACACCCAATTTATTTTTAATAAATTCACCAGTGGAATACCCTTCTTTGAATGTCACTACTCCCAACTGAACCTCACTGGCGGCTCCCTCATTTGCTGGTTCTTCACCTCCCCAAATCTAAACATAGGTATACATCAGTGCTCAGTCCTTGTACCTCTTCTCTGTCTGCACTCAATCCATGGTACTCTCCTGTCTCAGGATGATGCTGCCCCTGTGAAGCTCAGGCTGGGCCTTTCTCCTGAATTCGAGTCTGATACATGCTAATGCCTATGTGACACCCCCACCTGGAAGTCTAAAAGACATTTAAAATAATGTGT